ATTTTCATTACTTTTTTTTTTTTTATTAATAATTTGTAACACAAAAAAAAAAACAAAAAAAAAAAAAATTTTCCCTGAAAACTCCGTTTTAGAATTTAAATATACAAACTTATATATATATATAGTCTCAAATCCGTTGTTGATATTATAAGAAAATGAATTTTTTTAATGAAAACCTTATCGTTCGACCTGACTTTCATCAAATGCGATAATTTTAAATAATTCAATAAACCAATCAAATTTTTTTTTTTTTTTAAATTTTATCTATTGTATTATACCGTCAAGCCTACCGATTTTTTTTTTTTTTTAAATTATTTACTCAGTGAAAAAAAATTATTATCATTATTATTTAACTGTGTAATAAGTCAAAATTTTATATAGCATGAACGAGTAAAAATCCCCCCCCCCCACACACACACACACACTTACACTCTCCCCGGCTTTCCAAAAAAAAAAAAAAAAAAATTTCTTCTAATCTTAAATCTTAACTCCAAAGGTGTGGGGAGAGGGGAAAAGGGGGGGGGAAAGGGAAAATCGAATCATTTTTATTTACTGGAATGTTTTTTTATTATTATTTATTATTATTATTATGTTTAAAAAATTTTTCAAATGAATATTACTAAACATGTGATTAACCATTAACAATTGTTATTATTATTTAAAAAAAATAGTATTGAAAAATTATTATTATTATTATTTAAAATGCGTTCAAAGGTAAATTAACTTTAAAGTAAATAAATATTTTTCGTTTTTTTTTTTTTTTTTTTAAAAACCTGTCACGATATGGCGGATGATAAAAATGTGGATGTTAGTTATTGACTTTTTACATTTTTTTTATCTTATCAATTAGTCAAAACATACAATTTTTTTTTTTTTATTAAATAAAATCAAAATTTCAATAAATAAATAAAAAAAAAAAAAAAAGGAAAAAAAAATTGCCACCATATCAATCAATAATAATAATAACCTTAAACGTTATGAAAATGATATCACATTAAACGAATGCAACGTAATAATAATAATAATAATAATGTGTTTTAAATGATAAACGTAGCACCTAATAATTCAAAAAAAAAAAAAATGTAGGAAGAAAAAAAACAAATCGAACGCGCTATCTCTCTCTTCCTCTCTTTTCCTCTTTTTTTTTTTTTTTTTAAGAAAAATGTTATCATAAACGTTTCTTAAAACTTAAAGATAATAATAAAATATTATACGAAAAAAATAAATATTTAATTTTACTTTTAAAAAATTATTTAGTTTTGAGAAAAAACAAATTCTTTGCAATGAGGTAGGAGGTAAAAGATAGGAGGTAGGACGTAGGAGGTAGGAGGTAGGAAGTAGGAGGTAGGAAGGAAACGGAATAAAAGAAATCCTATATAAATAATTTGTTTTTTTTTTTCTCCTCGCATTCTCAAAAATATTTTTCATAACTAAACGTTATTGTTATGATAATAAAATATTGTATGGGAAAAAAATAAAAAAAAATTTCAAATTGATATTAAAAAAATTATTTATTTATTTATTTTTATTTAATAAAAAAAAAAAAAATTACATCAATAATAATAATAAATTTTATCGTTGTTTTTGGCAGCATTTAAACATTTTATTATTATTATTATTATTACTATTTAAATGATGACGTTATGTACATTTTTTACTAAAAGATTCTTGTTTAATATTTTGACAATATGTTAATTTTATTATTATTATTATTATTTATTTAATTTTAAAATTAAATTGATGAGCATATATATAAATTGTAAGGCTAAATTATTGCTGTTTTTTTTTTTAAATTTGTTTAAACAATTGTGTATTTTTTTATATGAAATATTTTACACCCCCTCAACTTTTATACCCCAATTTTTATTAGATTGACTCCAAATGTATCCAGTTTCGGCAACCGAACAAAACGCATTATAATACCTTCCAGGACTCCTGCAAAAGGACCAACTTGGACATTTGCATTTAAATTGAGTTTGAAATTCTTCTTTGCAGACTTCGTTCCACCAACAAATCCTCTGCATTAACAATATCATCATCATCATTATTATTTAAAACAAAAAAAAAAAATAAATATTATTATTATTATTATTATTATTACCTCGGTAAGAAAATCAGAAACTGATTCGTCTTTGAAACTTCTTTTAACGATAAAACCATATCCGAATGAAAAATTTACGATGAAAATTATAAATAAGGCAACAAACTGAAATATTAATAATAATAATAATATTAATAATAATGATAATGATGTTAATGATAATAATGATGATGATAATTTTAATTCGTTTAAAAAAATTAAAATTAAAAAAAAATTTAAATAATTATTTATACGTACGACGAAATTAAAATTTTTCGATTTTCTTTCAATTCCCATAATAATAATAATAATTATATATTTACTTATTTATAATAATAATAATAATAATAATAATAATAATGATAACTATTTTTTTATTTTCAAATTATAAAAATGTTGGCCCACGTAAAATAAATAGAAATTTTTAAAAATAAAAACATTACATTGATTGTCATTGATATTTTTTTATTTTTGTGTTTTTTTTTTCTTTTTTTTTTTTTTTTAAACTTGAAAGTCCCCCACAAAAAAAAAAAATTTTATATCGAATGAATTTTTCCCGATTTTGCGCGTGAAATTTGACACGCGCATTACGATACTTTTTTTTTTTTTTTTTACATCCACGTAATAATAATAATAAAAAAGTATCATTTTTATTAATGGTCGTTAAAAATATCAATGACAAATGATGTTTTTATAATGTTTTTCTCCCTTCGAGAGAGGGTGGAGTATGGGGGGCAGGAGCGTGTGTGGAGGAGGGAGGAGGAGGAGGAATAGAAGGGAGGAATCGATGTAAAAAAATTTTATTTTATTTTATTTTTTATTGCAATAACAACAACGCGCGAATAAAAAAAATGAAATAAAATAAAATTTTTATTGTTATCTAAATTTTTATAACAAGGTCATTTAATAATTTTTTTTTTTTAAACACCGTTTTCATCATCATCATCATCATCATCATCATCGATTGCCTAAGAAAAGCTCTGAAAATTTTGATAAAAAATATAAATTTTTCTTATCATTCACAACAACCCGATTAAATTAAATTTAAAAAAAAAAAAAAAAATTATCTATATAAAAAATATTTACATTTTTAACTTTTTTAAATAAATATAATAAATAAATAAATAAAATATAATACAAATTTAATTTTTTTTTTTATACAAAATAAATAAATAAGTAATTTCAGGTATAAATTTAATTAATAATAATAATAATTTAATGTTTTTAAAAATTATTAAATGTCCAGCATTTTTTTTTTTTTTATATTGTAAATTTTTATTTTTCTATTTTTAACTTATGTAAGTTTTTAATAACAACAACAACACTTTAATTTTGTTTGTTCACTTCCAGCAAAATGTTTGTTGTTTGTTTTTATTTAAAACTAATAATAATAATGTATATACTAAAACTAATTTTATGGTCACAAACACTTCTTCTACACATTTTAGTAAAAAAAAAAAAATTTTTTTATATTGAGCAGGAGGTAATTTTATTTTTAAATTTTATTTTCTTCGTTTTCGTTTTCGCTGACGTCACTGCAAAAAATTATTAAAATAATTATTAAAATTATGTTTAACGTTTATGTAAAAAATTATGTATTAATATCTTACTCGTATTTATTATGATGCCTCCAGGTAAAAAGTGATTTTGAGCAACTTTTATAATATTTCCAACATTCTCCATGTTCGTATCCGGATTGTTCGGCTTCAACGTATTCTCGTAAAACGTCAGCAAATGGAGATTTGCTCGCCCTTTAACAACAACAAGAAATAAATTTTATGACGTCACACAAAATATTAAAATTAATTATTTATATAAATTTTTTAAATAATTATTACGTGAAAAATAATTGTAAGATTTCACCGAGAAATCCAAATTTTTCCATACTGTGTCCGTG